GAGATCAGAGGTCAAGTTTTTTGAAAATCTTATGAAGGTGATAACTCTTGAATGAGGTGATGTTGGATTTTCAAATTGGTACCATAGGTGTGCCGACTAGAAACCTGAGGGGTAACAAAGGCAGTCGCAAGTACTTTTAAGACCAGTAAGCATCGATGCTGTGTGTACTGGATGGGAAAGAGCACATGAGCTTATTATTCATGGACCTTCCCATAATGAATCAACTAAAACAACCTGATACAACACTGATGCATTTTAATTAAACTTAAGTGTTAATCCATTAAAAATAGATGTGGAGGCCACCATGTTGCCCGCCATCTTGAATACAGTGGCCAAGGTGGACATCGCTGTTCCGCCTAATTGCACTTTATCTATGTGACTAGAGACCGGCCACATGTGTAATAGGCCTTATAACTTACCGTTAATGTAAAGATCAGAAATAGCTTTTTCAAATTCTATTAGTTAGCATTTTTACATGTATAATTTAATGATCTCTTTCTCATTATGCCTCCCCCTGCACTATTTCCTCACCTCAGGCTTCGTCTCCTAAACTGAAGTCAGGGCTTTAACACACAAAAACATACACAAACATGCTTATTAACTTCTGATATTGATATATAGTAGATTTGAGGGCAAACAAATTCAGTGCTAACTCAGTGATATGTTGATAATAGGAGGAACTTAGAGGAGGCATCTGCATCTTCGTGAGCCTTCACCAGAGTGGCAAGGCTGTGGCAGGATGTGGGCGGCGACCTCACACACAGAAGTCCTGTTGTTCCATAAATATTTAAGACTCAACATTGGTTAACAGATTTTTATGTATTTTCCTGATATTCTGGCCCATTTGTTAAACACAAATGCATTTCAGTATTGTGTAAAATAGATCACATTTTAAATAAATAAAAACTTGTTACATATCTTTTTAATCACAGTCCTGATGGTTTTCCTTTGGTGGAAGAGCAGATGTTTTATAAGCAGAGAGCAGAAATCAGACAAACAGCACTATGAAAAGGATTTCTGAGAGAAGAAGTTCCAGGTATTTTGGATAGAAAACCTTTTCTCTGTGTGCATCCGTGCCAGTTCCCTCCTTTGAAATGTAAAACAAACCAAACTCCAAACCCGAAGTCCTTCCTGTTTTCCTAGAAAACTTCAGAGTCACAGGCTTTCCTTTCTCTTTCTGTTTTGAGTACTTTTTAGTGTAAACGTTTAGCTGCATTTTGGTAGTCAAGGGAAGATTAGATATACTAAAATATATAAGCATATATATCAATGTGAAATATTTTAAATTCATTACATTAAGAGGAGAAATACCAGACATTTAAAGGTCTACGATGCCGTGTTGCACTTTCCATTTGTGTTAATAGAATATAAGCAAATTTGAACTTTGCAGTTAAATTTGTTGAATTTGATCTGGTTTCTGTCCAATTGCTAATTCAGGCACTTCACATCCAGCGAGCCGGTGATGACCAGGTTATGGTTAACCAAAGATTCAGATGGAAATTTCCCTTCTTTGGCAAATGTAATTCTTGTAACTGAAGAAGTGCAGAGAGGTGGTTTCAAAGGTAACACCGACTAGTATGTGACCCATCGTGTGTGCAACCTTACCCTAACCAGGTCACTGAAGACCTGCTGCATGTTGGGAGGTATAACGAGTACGGTGGCGCGATGCTAGAGTTTCAAGCTCGATACTATGAGGGAAAAAGAAGCTTCCTTTAACTGCTTCCTTATTCACAAGAGGTGGATAGACAGATCAGCATATCATTAATATCAATTACTATATGAGTAACAGTAATATAGTAGTAATAACACTAAATTAATACAATAACAGAAAAAGGTTTACACACATGAGTCTACAGTCTAATTTAGGATTTAAAAAGAAGCTGACACACCTGACATCAATGTTTTTTTGGGGGGTGAAAGCATGCACATTGAGGTTTCTGGTGTGTCTTTCCACGATGCCAGCAATTAAGCAGTAATTGCAGGGGAATGGGTTTAAAATTCCTCAGTATTTTAATGAAAATGCTGACATTTGTTAAATACCACAAAAGAAAGCGATGTGGTGCATCGCCCACTAATCTGCAAATTTATTTAAGATGTTCAAAGTGTCGCTTTCATTTTTTTTTTCAGTGCTTTCACTTCATTTTCTCTGAGCAGCTCAGCTTTACTTCCACAAACATATCGATAAACGGCTTCGGCATTAGAGGGACCGTCTCCACGGCTATTTCTTCTTTTCCGGAAATGCAGCTTAATTTTTTTGTTTTGTTCTTAATTTAATTTAAATTTATATTTAGATACGATTTCATGCTTTCGGATCCTTCTTCAAAAGCGAATCGCCTGCTTGCCTGTGCATGTGTGTGTCTGTGCATTTGTGTATGTGTGTGTGGTGACGTGTACATTTATTGGGTGACCACCCGGCTTGTCCAGAGTACGCTTGTCTCTACGGTGATAACTCTTACCTGTTGTTATGCCTCCTCAACTCTTCTTGTTAACATGCTTGTGTGTGTGTGTGTGTGTGTGTGTGTGTGTGTGTGTGACTTTGTGTGTGTGACTTTGTGTGTGTGACTTTGTGTGTGACTTTGTGTGTCCTAGACAGATGGATGATGTATTATGTAAAACAAAGTGATCCCAGTAGTGGCCTGTTTAGCTGCCACCCTGACCAACACCAGCATCTCACACACACACAGTTACACACAAAAACTCACACTTACACACACACACACAGAGTCCCTAGACAGCCTGTCTGTAATCGAACTCTGGAGAGGCTCAGCGGTAACCACATCTATAACGCACCCTGGAGAGAGATGCTGGGCGAGTGAAAAGAAAGGCAAACTAGGACAGGAGCGCGGAGAGAAGGAGCGCGTGTGGGAGGGAGAGTGGAGGTGGTTCTCTTGTCTTAAGGTTGCCCTCGGAAAGCATTTATCTTCCAGGGGAGATGCAGAGAGGAAGTGAACAACTGATTGGATGGCGCTGGCTGAGGAGGAGTATTTTAATATGCTATCCTTCGTTTTAGTGCCCACACATGAAAGTATAAATAGCCCGCACACGTACGTATGCATAGGCCGCTGGTAGGTGTGGGGTGTTGTGTGAGAAAGAAGGGGTGGGGGGGTGACAGAGGAAGATGAGAGGCCGCTGAATGATTAAACGTCCTCGGCAACACGATGCAAATGATCCTTATTTGTACAATCGAAGCAGCTCGGTGATGTGTGTGAATACTCTGAGCCAAGACTGACTCAGAAAACCATAAAACTCAAGACAGTTTTTTGCACATTTAACTGTGAGGCCAACTTTTTCTACTTCGAGTATGATACCGATACCTTCACTACAGCAGTCTGCTGGCGATGACCTGATACCAGCGCTGAATCAATAAACTGTGTTCATATCTGTGAGGAAAATACTGGGAATAATTCTTGATCTGTAACACAACGTCAGGCTACTTTGTTTTCCTAACAAATAAATACATATGCATATAACAACAGGCCCAAAACAAACACATTAAACAATAAAAAAAATTGCATTCATCTAATTTACTCACACTAGTCTCTTTTCAGCTCAGTGTAGGAGTCATTAAGCTCCTGCTTGCTGTTTTTCCTGCTCCTGCACACGTCGCACGTGGACCTGACAAGAGACAACCAAAGTTAAATAATAATTTGAACATGCCGGGATGTTAGGTTATCATAAATGCACTGAAAGGTTCCCAGCAGGTGTTACACTGGACCAGCCTGCTTGTAGTTTCTGCTTTGTGTAATGTGTCTCTGACCGAACATAACCGGCGAAAGTGAACGAGCGAGAAAGAGAAACAAAAACAATGTCGCGTCAGCGCTTCTCAGTCATGTCGACTCACTTGACTCACAGTTTGCAGTTAAGTTAAATGGTTTATAAACAAACAAAGACAAGCTGTTGACATAGCGAGCGTGGAAAACGCTCCAAACTGCCAACCCTTTGCTGTTAACTTCCTACGAGCTCTGCTGCTACCTGCTGCTGACCTGTGGACGGTATACACAGGAAAACACTGAATAGATTGGCACGTTGTCGCTGATCCAGCTCTTTAACATCAGACTGTTGCATCATTAAGATTACATGTTGCTCATGTACTTGTGACTAGAGTTATTGTAGCATTATGTTTTATTTTAGTTTCATATTTTTTTTCACAAACAAAATCAGCTGCAGCAGATTTATATAACAAAACAAAATTCAGGTACTATTATAATTTTCCAGTATGTTTATAAATGAACCAGATAACAATATAAATTTATAAGTTCCTCTTTTTTCCTCATCCCCTTAATTTTCCTGCTTTGATTAGTTGCTCATACCGAGGCTCACGGCTGGTAGCTCACTCTGAGCGCTGGTTAGCTTTAGCCACCTTTGTTAGCTTCTTTAAAACGATTAAGTGTCTCACTAGGTTTGCTGTTGTACACATTTTCACACCGTTTACTTACCTGTGCCGGTGTGTGTGTGTTCCACATGCACGAAATTGGCCAACTCACAATCAGTCATATGGAAGGCTGACCGGCTGGTCACTGGTCATGGTGGAAAACACTGGAAATTGGCTGATTAAGTCATGTGGACATAAGTAAACATAGCACACAAAATCCCTCTAGTGCCTGCTCTGTTGACAAAATTGAAAAAGACTTAAACTAAAGAGCTAAAGACATTTTCTATAATTGTTTTAAACTAGTTATATGGAAAGGACTGGTCTTTGTATAGTAAGTTTCTAGTCTGATCATAATGATCACGCCATGACATCACAAGAACTGTTTGCCTTTTCCCACATTTTCACACGACGTTTTATTCTCAGCACTTAAGAGCCTTATCTAGCTTCCATCCACACCTATGGCCATTTCAAAATCACCAGTTAACCTAACATGCATGTCTTAGGACTGTGGGAGGAAGTAGGTGAGAGAACCCACACAGGCTGTGAGGCGACAGTCCAAATCAGTGCTCTGCAGCGCATCGCTGTTTGCTAACCATCATAACCTTGACTGTTTTTCTTTCCTCTGCAGCTTCAGGAACCAACGAGAATGAGGAGCGCGTGTTTCGCGAGAGGATCGGCCCTCGCCGGCGACAGGGCGCCGTCCGTAGGCGCGTCCATCAAGTCAATGGACACAAGTTCATGGCCACCTATCTTAGACAGCCGACCTACTGCTCACACTGCAGAGATTTCATCTGGTGGGTGAAACATCTATCGCATGTATCTGACCCCTTTTGCTTGCTGTGATGCCGCTGAAATGTTGACTCCTCTGTGTGTGATCTGATAGGGGCGTGCTGGGGAAGCAGGGATACCAGTGTCAGGGTGAGTACTTTTCTCCGGCAGACTCCAATTTCTGAAGTAACATTGCGTATCATTTATTATTCAAGCATGAGAACACAAGAGGGATTACATGTTGCTGAGTGACAACTGTGATTTGGTCCCACGCCATCACCCCAGAGCCACGCATTTACAGCATTACACGAGCAGAAAACAAAATGAAGCATAATATTATAATATTAAAAATTACATGCACAGGCTTTTTTTTTTCTTCTCTGTGCTTGCAAATATCCTAAAAATTCAGCTTGAACTCGTAGTGTTATTTAACAGACTCTTTAGGGTACTTCATTACTTCACTTCATAATGCAGCCTGTGGAGGTGCGGGTGGAAGATGTTATGCAGCTTAGCGGTGGAAAAGGTGAAGGTGGAGTGGTTGAAACTGTGCAGCCAGCAAAAGTTGTGCCTCTCTTACCTTTGCTTTAATGCGAATGCAGTTTATCTGCTGTTAACCTCACATTTGTGGCAACTTTAAAGAGTTTTAAAAATCCTCAGAGTCTGTGAGTACTCTTCCTGCCAGGCTTATACATTAAACATTAAATACTTGTGTATATTTTCAGCATTTCGCATCATTTTAACCCAGTTTTATTTTAAAACTCGAATGATATTCACCATATTCGTATTACTTATACTGTCGGTCGTTCAACCAATGAGAATTTGGTCAGATGGGAGCAACTAACAGTCAAAACATTACTTAACTGAGTCATTAATGAAGAATGAAGAATGAGTTCAACAGTTCAGCCCGTCCATCTGCAACCCTACCGAGGCCTGTGCTGAAGTAATTTGGCCTTTGATAAATAAGCCTTAAATCCATTCATCTGGTACGCCAACTGGACTTCCTGGATCATATTTTATTGTCTCACCTGTAGTTTAAACAGCATGCCTCTATCAACACAGCTGTCTGTGGTTAAACGCGGTGCATTTCTTCTTTCCCCTGGTTTAAATATGCAACCATAATAAAGATGTTTTGATAACAGAATGGTGTTTAGGTGTCAAAATGATTCTCTGCGCAGCAGGTGGTTGAGCTATGCAGTTTTCATTGATGCATATGGGCTCGAATTTCACTCGAACCGAAGCATATTTTTTAAGTTTCATGTGGGTTGTTTTTGTTTTGTTTTGTGACACTACAACAGTACACCTGAGTGCATCCTGTAAAGATAGAGGAAGGGAACGGAAGCTGCTCATGTGCTCCTGTTGACGTGTTGCTTATACTGCACAGTCTGTGTAGACTAATCGTTGCTTGTGAATATGAAAGTAATGGATATTAACAAAGACAAATGGAAACTAATTCTGTTTTTTGCTGAATTATCCATTGTTAATGTCTCCTAGTGAGTTGTGCTGCCTATGAAAATTCTTTCGTTTGTGCTTTTTATTCATTTAACCTTCATTCATTCATTTAACCGAGAAAATGTAACTCCCACGATTAAAATCCCTTACGGCTAAGTTAGGAAGCAGCTCAGTCAGCAGGCTAATAGTACCTGCACAGATATGGATAGATAGATATACACAAGTTAAGGAATATATTGTTAAATAATCATTATTCAGCTACTCTTCGAAGTCTTTTTCGTGTTAGATTTGTAGGCCTAATTAGGTCTTTCTCATTAATGAAGAGCCGTGCAGAGGATGTGTGGCTGTCAGTGGTAATGCTCACTCACCAACATTCTGTTGTAGACTGTAATTATTTGTGATTTTAGTTAATTAGCCTTTTCATATTGATATTCAGAGCGGGTCAACCAGATCTTTCAGGATTGGTCGGCAGTGGCATGAAGAAGTGTGCGGCTGCATTGCAGTGCTTTGTTGAACTACACTTGCCTCCCAGTTCATACTTAATTTTGTGTAAATATGATCTGAGATATGATAAGAACAGATAAGGCTTTCTTATAGCTTGCTGTTTGTTTGCAGCTGGAAAAATCAGATTAGCACACTTTGAGATGAAGCTGATGTCCCTCTGCCTCTCACACATCTGTTGTTCAAAATGAAAATATGTTTATTTGACCAAGGTTGTGTGTGAATGCCTTTTAGTGTGCACGTGTGTTGTCCACAAACGCTGCCATGAGCTGATCATCACCAAGTGTGCCGGCATGAAGAAGCAGGAAGACACACCTGAGGAGGTACACACGTCTGCAAACACTCAGCTGCACGGAGACTTTGCAGGAATGAGAGGATTTTTAGTGGACCTCAGTTCATTATTTGCTAACTAAAGGCTCAACTGAAGTTTATTAATTGTTTTTTATTCAGAAATCATAACTTAGACAGTGAGAAGAGCACATATAAAGATATACCAAGTAGTCTTGTGGCCCTTATGCATAGAAAGCGGTGTGCACTGTGGCTAATACTAGTTGGTTGAACTTTGTGCGCTGCCTGTGCTGTTGTTTCCAGGAAAATTAAACAGGTTTAAATGGTTATGTTAGCATTGTTCCATAATTTAACCCCAACAATAGAAATACAAATGATCTTTTAATACTTTTGCTACAGTGAGAATACACATACGCCAAAACTCACTTTGATTTGACTTTATTAGCATTATTTTACCTCTTTTTCAATTAAACTTGATTGTATTGTTATTTTAAATGCTGATCCTCACAGTTTCAGAGAGTAGGAATCATGAAAGAAATACTGAATATGGACAGAGACGCTCAACATTCAGGCCACTGATGAACAAATCTGTTGCTTAAAGCAATGTGTGTCAGAACGCTCCTCTGATAATGCCACCCTGACCTCTCGTTAATGCCCCCGTGTGTGTGTCTGTGTGTTCTTCTGTGTGTGTCTCCCTCTGCAGGTGGGCTCACAGCGGTTCAGTGTTAATATGCCCCATAAGTTCAGTATCCACAACTACAAGGTCCCCACTTTCTGTGACCACTGCGGCTCCCTGCTGTGGGGCCTCATGAGGCAGGGCCTGCAGTGCAAAGGTGAGTTTATGAGCAGTGGGGAATTCACATGAGAGCCCACGGGGAAACATCATGGCAGCCCAGGTGCTCATATTTGCATGTTGAAGCCACATGATGTAAACAGGGATGCCACGAGGAACAGCGTTTTCATTACATCTGTTAAAACATGATAACAAATGAAAAATGATTGCTTTTCCCCCATGATTAATTACATTTCTGGTAAAAATAGTGTTAGGCTTTTGCTATAGACTCTACATACTCACATAGAATTTCTTTTTAATCTAATTTTCAGAAGTATCCCCAAGTAAAGTCCACCACTTGCACTTGTTTTTTGTCATGCAAAAATGGCTTCCTTGGTCTTAACTCATGTTTTATACTAAATGTATTTTAAAGAATATACATTTTTAGTTTGCAGACTCATTTCTGGATTTTTAAAGTAAAATGCCTTTAATGAGCACTTAGGTTGTAGTAGCAGGAGACATGGTTTATGTGTTTAAATTTCACATTTTCTTTCTTTCTTTTTTTTACAGTGTGTAAGATGAATGTGCACAGGCGGTGCGAGACCAATGTAGCTCCTAACTGCGGCGTGGACGCCCGAGGAATCGCCAAGGTCCTGTCTGACCTGGGAGTCACACCTGACAAGATCTCCAACACTGCGCAGCGCAGGAGGAAGGTAACAAGCCGCCCGTGTCAGGTCTTTACTAGATTTTCTCTTAAGGACGTGACTTCTAAATACTGCTCATCTGCTGCATTTTCTTTAGGCCTACCACATAAGTTGTCCTCCACTTGTCCAGTTTCCATAAAACTCACCTTGTTAATGCAAGAGAAATAGGAAGATAATATGGGAAAAGACTTGTTTCAGTCCTTATAGAGAGAAATACCGTTGTCATGTATGTACAGGTGGTGAGCTCGAGTTCTACCCGAGGAAATAAACTCCAGCACCTCAGATGTGCACAGAAAATGCATTTGGGACTTTTCCCAGGCTGTAGCACCTTCCCTGAGGCCGGCAGGTTAACCTGTGGAGTCACACGTATAATGTGCTAATTAAGGAGCTTCATTAATTAAGGAGCTTACTGGTTCCTTCTTTTTTTCTAGTTTTTGTGGGAAGCTCAGCTAAGCTAACCGTCTGTTTTTCATCATTGTGTGGTGCACATCTTTGCATTTTACTCCTAAGGCGTCTCAAAGGGTGTCCATCTATTTGTCCAACTACGCATTTCAAACTGAATGTATTTCTGTTACTGTTGGATGAAAAGCACAAGCTGTTTTCAGACTCTGGAGTATCAGTTCGGGACGTTGTTCAAAGATGTCCTCACTCACACGCGGCACACAACGGCAGGAGTCGGTTTCAGATGGGTTCTCACTCCTGTAAATACTCCGCGTGGTTTGGGTTAGGGAGCGCACACAGGAGGCAGGACACATGACGCCCACTCGCTCGCTGTGAATTCACCGAGCTATTACCTGCTTTATTCTTACACTGGGTCAATCAGACATCACACAGACTTTGTGTGGGAGCGACTGCGTTGCGCATTTGTATTCTCACGTGTTCCTGTGTTTAGTAATGCCTTTAAAAGTTCAGGCCTGCGTTGGACGTGTAAAAAGCAGCTTTAAAGCTCCGATTTTCAACTGAGAAACTTGGATTCACCTCCGTGACTCGTGATTCAGGAAACAGATTTTTAGAGGACAGCCCAAAGGCACGGCCATGTTGACTCTCTCTGTGTTTCTCTCTTTCTTCAGTTGACTCCAGGGCAGGACCCTCCCCAGTCTCCTCCTGAGCACTCTCAGACTGAGGAGAACAGCTTCAGCCAGCCAGCTGTCCCCACCTCCCCCTCACAACAGGGTAACACGACACACACACACACACACCAAAAAAACCACATACGCAACATCAACAAAAAGACGTCTAAAAGCCCGCTTCGAGATGGGTACGGCGGGGGGCGGTTTAATGTGTAATTCTACCAGTGAGGGGTAGTCATTCGATTTCAGCGATAATATTGTTGCTGTTTTTAAAAAAGAAGTTAAATGTTATTGTTTTTTTCTTTCTCTCTTCTTTTTTCTAAAAACAAGCTAAAATTGAATTATCCCTCCACCGCCCACCACCATTTGGTTGTCACAGTTAGTCATCGCATTATCACACTTTGCAAGCTGAGAAATAAAAAAGTTAACTTTCTCTTTGTGGAAGTCGTCCCATTTTTTTTTTTTGTTCTCGTCGAGCCAAACGCCGATGACAACGGCGCCGCTCGCTGCTGTTATTTAATCGCCCTGGTCCGGGGAGTGAATCATTCCAGGTTTTAACAGAGGATGTGATCATGTTTTGTTTTGTTTTTTTCAAAGTTTATTGAAAAGCAATCAGTAACAAATGTGTAATGCTTCTAAACAGCTCTTATTTCCGTATAATTGAGTTGAATGCTGACAGGAAAAAAGAGAAAAGTCAGCCAGCCTGTTTTTGCTGATGTCTGATCTGCTTTTCCGATGACACCCACAGACTTGGCAGAGTTGGATCGCCTGCAGGACGCGCTGTCGCTCAACCAGCAGGGACCTCAGCACTCTTCCTCCTCTTCCTCCTCCACCACCTCCTCTTCCTCGTCCTCCTCGGCAGCCAGGCAGAACGGAGAGAGCCAGAGGAGGAGCCTGAAGGATTTCAACTTCATCAAGGTTCTCGGCAAAGGCAGCTTCGGCAAGGTGGGAGAGCTCGGAGGAGGCGTGCGAGGGGGATGTTTATTTGTTTGTTCCTCATTATGTTTATAATTAAACTGTTTTTATTTTTAAATCAACAACCAGTTCACGGGGTTCCCATTATTCATAACAGCTGAATTATCAGGGGAAGTGAATAATATCAGGGGAGCAGAATAGACTGACGCTCATGTGCATTGCATTAGATTCATACCATGTTGATACAATGTCCAGCAGCAGGTCACTGTAAAACCTTTGTATAGTTACTGCAGATTACCTGCCCAACACCAGATGGTAGGTTAGAGAATAGCTGGTAAATATATTGGGGCTCTGAGCAGATAAAGAGCCATTTGTTTCAATCACCAGCTGCTAGAGACCAAAAACAGATCATATAATATTGTTCCATTCATAATTTTATCACTGTAAACCCCCTCTTGCATTTTATAATACACCGACGAGCTAAAACATTATGACCACTCACTGGAGTGACTCATATTGATGATCTTACACCTATTGCAGTCTGTGATTGAATAGGATGAATCTGAGCAAAATTGACAAAGCCAGACGACCCAGTCTCAGTAACGAGCCAAGCCAGTTTCCCATTGTCTGGCGCAGTGGGAGGACTCTTACATTTCATTGGACCACCTTTAACTTTGTTGCATTGTTGCATCGTTTTGAAAAGCTTGTGCAATGTCACTTCATTTATTTTCATTCAGATATGCATCAGTTGTTCAGCCCAGAGCTCCCTCTCTTGGAGATGTGAGAGTCGGGGCCGCTGTATGAAGTCTGCTCCAACATGTAGATTTTCCGGACCCTTTCACAGTTTCAGCCTAACGATTCCTGTCGTTGCAATCTTGGAACGCGGCTGCGCCGTCGAGGAGAAAAAAATCAGTTGATGAAAAATGATTCAGTCTAATCAGGTAGTCAGCTGACCCGATGTTTTCAGGTGCATAACATTGCTCAACCTGACCGGCTGACACAAACCCAGGTCATAACACTGCTCCCACAGGCTTCATCGCTTCGTCCACCTCTCCTCTTACTCAGATATACTGATCGCTCTGGAAAACAGATTAAACATCCAGATTCCTCTGACCATGTCACCTTTTTCCACTTTTTACAATCTCTTTGCTTCCCAGCAAACCGAAGCCTTTTTTCTGATTTGCTTTATTGATAAGCGGTTTTGTTAGGCGGGCACAGCCGTTTGGCACCGATCCATTAAGCTCTCCTCACTTTGTTGAAATGCTCTTATTTCCCTTTCCTTTTAGCACTTGAGTTCAGCAAATGTTAAAGGGGTGTCCAATCGCAGTTATTCAAGATTACTTCCTGATTACATTTCTTCCTCAAAGATGATGTTTCACCACTATCCTTCCGGGTTGTCAGTAATGCCGTTGGCACTTCTTAACCTAATTTTAGAGGTTTCAGCAGTCTTCTTTATTGTGTTCTTTGCTTGATGCAGTAACTTGACCCTTCTGAAACGAAGAAGCATCTTTTCCAGGACCAGAGGAGATGTCTTCCGATTTGGAGAAAGAAGAAGTTACTCACTGTTGCAGACCTGAAGCCTATTACTCACTGCAGTAATTATCTAGTAGAAGACTCTTACCTATTTGCTTAGTAAATCCACATGGTGACCTTTTTGTTTTTTTGGTGAGGTAGTGTATTAAAAACAAGGGAGAAAATCACAAGATATTCAAAACAGAGAAACATTAAAAAAATATGAAAGACTCTTTAAAACAGAGACAATGAGAAAAGGTGTGAAAAAGAAGCAAAGAGGTATAAAAAAATAAAATACTTGTGAATAATAGAAGCAGAAGGCTAATTAAGGATTAAGGAAATGGGCATCTGCTCTTCATCTACCTAGGCTACTAACTGTGGTTGAACCTAGTATGAAAAGCACGTGCGGGACGTAACTTGGAACCAAAGCGTGCGAGTTGTGCCAGCGCACCAGGACGCCTAATCCTCACCTTAAGTAACAAGCGTTTGAAGCGTCCTGTAGTAGGCATTACTGCATTACTTGTGTGCGTCCTGCAGTCTTGCAGGCTGCAGATGGATAAAGTTGGTCCAAGCATGGACAAACAAGGCCTGCCCGAAGCTTACAGGAATTACAGGATCTTTGTTTTGGTGCCAGAAAACTCCAGGGCACCTTTAGAAGTCCATGCCTCACTGGATCAGAGCACTTGAAGGACAGACAGCATATCAAGAAGTGATGGCTTTGGGTTTTGGCTTGTCGGTGTAAACAAAATCAGCCTGGATTTTACACGTCACTCTCAACGTTGAGTCGGCAGATAGTCTGATTAAGTTTATTTCAAGAGCTCATTTCAATACAGCAACCAAAGTGCTTGTAAAGTGCTCACAAAACAAACACTGCCTATATAAGACAGTGTATATAATAAATAATTAATGTAAGTCATAGCTTATACGTGGAAGCAGATGCCTCCTGATCTATGTTTGCATTCATTCTGAATTATAATTCAGCTGATGTATCATAAATCGCATGTGGTACAAATGCTTCACTTCATCACCGTGCAACTATGGGTTGTACTCAGTTGTAATGCAAGATGCCTACAATTCGAAACACCCACAGATAACGAATGACCCCGTAAAAAGAAAAAGGTGTTAACGCTGAGATCGCGGAATAAACAAATTTTTGCCGTTTCATACTGCGCATCTCTTATCCAGGTGATGCTGGCGGAGCTGAAGGGGACAGAAGACGTTTACGCCGTTAAAGTTCTGAAGAAGGACGTCATCCTGCAGGACGACGACGTGGACTGCACCATGACCGAGAAGCGCATCCTGGCCCTCGCCCGTCGACACCCCTACCTCACCCAGCTGTACTGCTGTTTCCAGACACGGGTAGGCTGACGTGTGAAGCAAAATGTACAGATTCAACAGCTGACTGCATTTCTCCTGTCTAATACCACTCCGTCCCTCCCTCTGTCTGCAGGACCGTTTGTTCTTTGTAATGGAATATGTGAATGGAGGAGATCTGATGTTCCAGATTCAACGATCCAGGAAGTTCGATGAGCCTCGCTCTCGGTTCTACGCTGCCGAAGTCACCTCAGCCCTTATGTTTCTGCACCGTAACGGAGTCATCTATAGGTAAACACCCTGCTGTCCTCGTTTGGTTTTTCTATCAAGGTCACTCTTAACTGTCAAAGAGAAAATATATATTTATATTTTGCTTTTTATTTTGGTACGAAAAGCCATAGAAAACATCAGTGCTTATTATCTGTTTACATTGCATGCACCTCCCCCAGTGAACCAAACTTTCCTAGAAAGTAGATGGTGCTAATAGCGTATCTGTGTCTTTCTGTTACAGGGATCTGAAGCTGGATAACATCCTCTTGGATGCTGAGGGTCACTGTAAGCTGGCAGACTTTGGTATGTGCAAAGAGGGCATCATTAACGGAGTCACTACCACCACCTTCTGTGGCACCCCGGACTACATTGCCCCTGAGGTGAGATTAACTCAAGGGCCTGCACTTCTTTATGTTGATAGGGTATAATGGTCGATATTCTTACCCTTGTATTGTTAAGTAGCTATTAGCTATTAACAACATTATATTTCACCTGGATATTTGAACATCTGTCCTGATAACATTAATCTGAGCTAAGTTAAAATCACAGATTCAGACTTATCAGTATTGTACTGATGTATCAAAGATGGAAGTCCCATGAGCTGAGTGCTTTTCAGTTTTGCTGTCTTGCTGTTTTAAAACCTCGTGACGAGTGACGGACAGACTGTAGCCGAGGACCCCACAAACCACTTGTCTGGTCCTAATAATGACTATAATTTACCAAATGGCTTCATTTTTTAACCGTGTGTGAACTGGAATTTGAAGTTGAGCCCATAAGTTCATTAGAAAGTGTTTTCTGAATTCAAAAATAAGGGAGCCGATTTCTATGCAGCTGTAAGCATTTTTTGCAGCCTGCTGCACTGCCCCCTGCTGGCCATTAAAAAAAATACAGGTTTAGGTCACAGCAGAGTTTTGGGCCACATTTTAGACCCAGAAGTTGTGCATATCTTATGCTGTCTATCCAACTTTAGCTCCCTTTTAGTCAGGACTAACAATCATATTAACAACAATCAACATCCGGCTCTGTTGCTCAGTGCGAAAGGGAACAATCTTCATTCATTTCAGGGTCATATGACTTCGCTGTCATCACAAGCATTTATTGGCTCCACCACCGTGCTTGCTGTGGGGTCATTAACTTCTGGGGGACTCTCAGTCCCCTTGGTTACAAATATAATGTTTAGTCTTTGTTAAGGAATCAATCAAACACTTTTTGGATAAATTGCCTAAAAATGTCACCGGCCGAAGTGCCAAGTGTTCATGACGCATCCGAGTGCAATCACTTATCATGGGTATTACACAAGTCTGTGTTTGTGCACATCAGCTGAAGGTGGACACTGAAGTTGAAGAAAACTTGTGTGCAGCAGTTAAAGCATTTCAAGGGACTTTTATTTGCATAATTTTTAAGTAGATATGCTTTTAAGAAGTCAAAAAGCATATGAAAGATAAATTATTATTCAATGCAGAGACTTTTTATCTCTCTTAAACATGTATGGAGATGATCTTTAAGTAGTTCAGTTTCCCTTTCACTCTTGCTGCTGATGACATTAGTTAGGTCTATCCATTGTTTTGGCTTTTCTACACCACTTAAAGTGGAATAAAGTACATCCTATTGAGGCTCTTCACCTCAATGGATCTGTTTGCAGGATGTCACGCAAGCAGAAATGTATTTCCTCGTAATCATCTTGAGCTGTGTCATTTGGTTGAATTCAGATCCTGCAGGAGCTGGAGTACGGAGCCTCTGTGGACTGGTGGGCCCTTGGGGTGCTGATGTATGAGATGATGGCCGGACAGCCTCCGTTCGAAGCCGATAATGAAGACGACTTGTTTGAGTCGATTCTCCACGACGATGTCCTCTACCCCGTGTGGCTCAGCAAAGAGGCTGTTTCTATTCTCCGAGCGGTACGTGTCGTCTCTCCCAACATTATCTGACATTTTTGTAGGACTGGTAAGCTCTTGGGAAGCTCTCATCACCAATTTCTTTTGATTCTACAAGGAAAGCTTAGTTTATTTTAACTGTATTTAGGAGATTTTGATCAAAATCAATTAAAATCAGTTCAGTTTTATTCACATAGTGCCAAATCATAACAGTCTCCTTATTAATGTGCTTTATACTGTCAGGTAATACAAGTAATACAGAAAAAATCCAACAATCAGATAACCCCACTATGAGCTAGCACTTGGCAACAGTGGAAAGGAAAAACTCTCCATCAGAACCAGGCTCAGGGAGCAGCAGCCACCTCCTATGAGTGGTTGGGAGTGGATGTACTAATAAAGTACTTGTGTATTTTAACATGGACAACCAACATTTATTAAACGTGCTATGAAGAGAAATGTAGAACGGCTATATGAGCACTGTAACGAGTGTAACGATGCAGATAAGTTGAAGTTAAGTTAAACAAAAAACAAACTTCAATGTCTAAAAGGCTCAATTCCAGCCCAGACTTGGCCAAGCTTTAACACAACAGCATCTCAATTAACAAAAACTGTTCCTGCAAGAGAAGAATTCAGTCTTGTGGTCACTGTTTTAACTTTCATTCAGATTTCTATCCTCAGAGCGTCACACGAGCAAATCAAACTCAAAGTGCACTTGATGCAAAGGTGTCATGCTGCACTTTCCTCGGACACTGAGGAGAATTAAAAAAAGGTTAAATGCAGTCATAAAACTGCAGTGAATCACAAAGTGCTCTTATAATGCCGAACAGACAGCAGAACAAAAGCAACGCGGTAAATAACACCGGCACTCTGCTGACCTGTTTGATCACTCTGCCAGTGACTCTGTGGATGCTAAAAACAAAGAGCCGTTTATGCCTCAGCTCTATTATTAGCACCAAAATGCTCCCCCCCTTATCTCCTCAATCCCGAATCCTTTGTCTTTACTTGTGCAAACAAAGATGTGAAGTGTATTTTGTTATGGATTAAACCACAGCTAATAGTTTTCAAGGTCCTGCTTTTCTGGAAGAATAAGTCCAAAAATACAAATGTTTTATTTGTGCAGTTCATGACAAAGAACCCGGCCAAGCGTCTGGGCTGCGTCGTGAGCCAGGGTGGCGAGGAGGCCATCAAGACCCACGCCTTCTTCAGAGAGATCGACTGGGTACTGTTGGAGCAGAGAAAAGTCAAACCACCCTTTAAACCCCGGATTGTAAGAGACACACACTCTGCACGAACTCACACAGGCCACAGTTTTACATGCAGCTATTTCACACATAAACCTTCAGTAATGCATCGTGTATTTGATACTAAACATTTTTCAAGGCTCAGTAGTTTTGTGAACTTGTGGATAGGTATCCGAATTATTATTCTTTAGTTTTAAATTTACTTGGAATGCTGAAAGACTATATACATGACATATACTGAGCATATTCTGATTCTGAGGAACTACACCAACAAACTAGCAAAATACTCAAAAAATACTTGTTTCTCAAAATACTAATTTATCATTCAGCCAAAATCTCAACTGTAGCAGAACGAAACATAAGCTGCAATGTTCAGGTAATATTCGCTAATATTACCTGGCAATGGCTAAACTAAAGAGAGCAGCACACAGCCAAAAAAAAAAATGCTTCTTTTTCTTAGTCCACCAGGTGGTGCTGTTGAGTTTTGGGTTTCATTTGGAAGTTGGTAAAACAAAGATGGAGGCCTGAGAGAAGTGCTGTGTGTTTAAATCAGAGATGTTGCCTTTTTTAACAAGAAAGGGACAAAGGAGATGGATTTGTAAGGAGTGTCATGTGAAAGTAAAATATTCTATGAATACTGTAAACATGAGGGCATATTTCATGCACTGCCATCCTCTCTGGTAATTCCTGCCTCTACTGCCGAGTTGGGGGACCTGTTCTTTGTACTTTGTTCTTTGTACCTGTACTTTGAGGTTTATTTTATCACCCCATTTGCAGTTAGTTGTTAAAAAGCTAATGTTAGCAAAGTATTTGAAACATTAGGGTAAGTGGGACCAGTCAAATAAGGTTTTAAAGCCCTGCGGTGGCTGTTATATTTTCACCACCATCTCTGCTGGTGTCAAGTTGCATCGTAGACTTTCATCTGGGATTGTTTTTTAATACTGTACGTCTCTTTTTGTCTCAAATATAAAATTCAACATCAACACCTTTATTACTATGCTGTCAAAAGTCTTCAGGTTAGCTTTCAGGAATTTTAAAGCCTAGAAAGCCTGAAGTTAAAGTAGGCATAAGCACGGAGATTGAAAAAGTATCTCAATTCGTTATGTTGAGTAATTCTCACAGTACCAGTCAAAGGTTTGGACACAGTCACCCATTCAGTTGTTTGCTGGCAGAATCGAAAAAGGGAAGTTCACATACTACGAGGTCAACTGAGAGTCATGACCTGCTTCCCCCTCCAGAATGGGCAGGCTTTAAGCGCACTCTGTCTCTGTCAATCATTCAAAAACAAGTAAATATGTGTTTTTAAAAAGTCTTTCGGTGTACTGAATTACTTTAATTTTAATATGTGTTTATTCATTTTGTTTGTGAAAGAAAGACTGTGCCATTTAGTCTCTAAAAGTAGCTTAAAAGGCTTGAAATCCCAATTTTGCTAATGTTAGATTTAAAAGGTTTGTGGCGTGTTAATTAAAGACCCCCTAAGAGAGCACCTTTCAAGGAACAGTAAGTCACAGTGGTCAGAAGGTGTCGCTGTCATGTAATTTTGAACGTTCTCTGACATCCTTCCCTCCGTCCGTGCCTTTGTGTGTGTGTTTTCGTGTGCATGCGTCTGCAGAAGACCAAACGAGATGTGAATAACTTCGACCAGGATTTCACCAAGGAGGACCCCGTGTTGACGCCCACGGACGAGGCCATTATCCGACAGATCAACCAGGAGGAGTTCAAGGACTTCTCCTACTGCGCCCCCGAGGAGACGCATACCTAACACATACACAAATACACACAGATCCAGCCACACTAAACTCGGTATGCACGCACTCACACATGCTGACACTCCATAGATCCATAAAATCCCTTTACAAATCACACACGCACACAAACACACACACACGGTCAGTCCTTTACTTTGAAGCTATTGGCTGTTGTTACTTTTGAGATATAATTTACTTGCATTGTGTTGTTGTTGTTGCCTGGGTTCATTATGAATATGAATATGAATTTAAATATGAATATGCACACGCTCTCACAAACAAACGCACGCACACATCGACACGCTCACGTGCGTACAAACACTACAATCCCAAGTTTTACGTGCCCTCGCGCACTCCTACAGTACAAGGTCACTGCACACGCTCAGACAAAACCAAACACACATACACACACCTACACTGCTTCTCTCCCCGGCACCTGTACACATGTGGACTGTGGGTGCTGGGTGCAGAGGCTTGTATATAGCCTGTGTTGAGTGGCTGTATCGTGCTGGTGTTGTCTGCTATTAAAGGAGCGTCGTGGCGCATGGACAAGCACCCTACCTGTGTTATTACTGTCCTTATTGTGGACCAGTTAGGGCCAAATCCCCTTTTGTGCAATACCCTGACTATCTATATATTTTATGGTTTGTTTGTTCATGTGCGCGTGTGTGTGTGTGTATGTGGTTTTTTTCTTCCTCAAAATGTGTTTTTTTAAATTGTTTTTGTTGGATTATGGTATGACTGAAGTATTCACTCATTCTTTGTCCTTTGTGTACAAAGTGAATGTCGAGCTTACGAGTTACAGGCTATCGAACTAATTATGTCGAGCAGAGTGTTAGAGGCGGCCTGTGTAGCAGTGAAAAGCCCCATTTCCAGCTATTTCATCCGTCTGTTAGGTTCAGAGATTTGGTCTGCCCTTTTTGTGTGAATGTGGGCCTTTTTATTAATATTATTGTTATTATTATTATTATTATTGTGAATGTATATTTTCATGCGTGCGAATGTGTGAATTTCTTTTTTCCCCTTTTCTGTCTGTTTTTTAGCATTTCCATAGCAACCGTCAGTGTTTTCCCTTTCCTTGCACTCTATTTCAAAGCACCAATTCCCCTTTTCCACATCCAGCAGCTCTTTCAGCCAAAACCACACGCTTTATTTTTTCTGACTTTTGCTCTTTATGTTTTCAAGAATGGCTTTTTCTTTCTTATTGCTCTCTCTCGCTCGCTCTTTCTCTCTTTTTTATTCTAAATCGAATTATTATTATTATTATTGTAAAGTGTATCTGGAGAAATCCTTTGTGCATAATACTATAACTATACTATTATAGGTCTGTTACAGCCGGGTTGATAAGACGTGTTGAGAGCCAGCAGCTGAATTACCTCTCACTTCACACACACACACACACACACACACACACACACACACACACACACACACACACACACACACACACAATAAGCACCAATACAGACTAGCTCCTTTTCCACCTCCCCCTTCTTCTCACTTTCTATTGTGCAGACACACACACACTAAACACAGAAGGACTGTTGCGTACTGTACAGTGATCTGAAGATGAGCTGGTTGCTCTCTGTGCAGTAGAGTTGATGTGTAGTGAAGCTTTGTGCACCTGGTCACACTATCTTACTCTGTGCCAAAATGTAGTGCAACAGCCGGGCTAGTCCTGTCTGGTCTGATTCCAATAAAACACTGAGCTGTCTACATCAATCCCAGACTACATTGTGTCTTTTTCTTATTGTTCTTTTCCCCTTCTTTGCTTTAATCGATTCTAACCTGCTGCTGTTCAGAGGCAAATCTGTGGGATGCTCAAAAGTTTATGTAAGAGAAGAAGAAGAGGGGAGGGAGGGTGGAGTGGAGGGAGGAGGAAAGAAGAGGGGAGGGAGATGCTTCTCATCAAGGCTGACCTATCATCACTTTTGGAGCCCTCTAGGTAATTTGCATGCCAAGGGGAGATGAGACTGTTTGGAATCCATTCAAGTCATCTGTGCAGCACTGTGGGTCTAATTGCCTGTCTGATGAACTAGTCTACCTGTGATGGTGCAAATTGCAGTGCAGAGAGTCGCTGTTGTGCCGTGAACTCCTGCTGCCATCGCGCCTGCTTTCCTGAGCCGTCATTCACCATGCGAGACATCTGCGAGGCACGATGACAGCTGACAAGGAGAAGAGAAGGTAAAGCAGCGTGTTGCTTTGTTCATAGGGGCATTCATTTGGCAGCAATAAATCTTAATAGATCAAGTTTAAGTGAGTTGCCAGCTAACTGAGGTAAAGAAGTGAGGTCAAAGAGAGTGCTGTGGCCACTCTGGATGCCTCAGATCTTAACCACGGTGCACTGTTGACCTTCCACATCTCTTCATCAGTGGTGGGGGAACTATTAAAAAACAAAGACACTAAAAACTGCAAAAGATAGAATTCAAATACTTCAAGGTTAAGCTCTGGAATCAAATCTTTCAGTAGAAATGAGGCAATGTTAGCAGTAAAAACACTGAAGGTGAAGTAGGAATAAGCATGGAGATTGAAGAAGTGTCACATATTGAGAAATTCTCTAAACTCACACAGATTATGTCAAAAGTTCACAGTGTGATGAAGCTGAAACATGACTGTTTTTACAGTTCCTGTAAAGCTGAGGAACAATGTCACTTTATTTATTTATTTATTTTTCCTTACATCAGTTTGAACACAGAATCCAAGTCTGCAGAGTCACAACATTAGCAGGCAAAATGCAGAAAATGAACAATATTATCTTCCGATATCAAAGAGAGTACATTTTAAATAGTCTTTGAGAAAATGCACTTCATCCAGTATCATCTCACTTTTACTTTAGTGACTAAATGAGTGAGTTTTCTCTAGTTTATATGTATCTATGTTGTGTGCAGCATAGAGCATACTTGCAGTAAAATGGTGTTTATAAACTTACCTAACTTAATTTTAGGTAGTAAAATCTGATGTAAGTTTGATTGAGAGAAATTTAGTTCAGCCTTCTTTGCATTTCCTGACTTCTGCTTTCTGAAGAGCGATCAGCCGTGAGGCTGCTCGAAGGAGACGGCGAGTGGAGTCTGACGTGTTTGGGGATTTGTCTCGCCTCCTGCCGCTGCAGCCCTCCGTCAGAGCTCACCTGGACAAGCCCTCCGTCATTCGCCTGACCCTCAGCTACATACGCATGCACACAGTGCTCAAAGGTAACAGCGCACATGTGAAGACATTTAACACCGTCTCTGACCTCTGTGTGTGAGATACACTCAGAGCAAACTGAATCACAAGGAGAAAAACACCACTTGAAGTCAGTAAATATACGCATTTACATATTTATGGCACCATTTATGTACTCGGCACTGATATTAGTTTGCAGGCTTTAGAGAAAATATAGTGAAATATAGAGAAAACCTTCAAATGATGTAAATGCTTTGTTTCCTTTATTTCTCCTGAAATCTGGGAAATTCATACAAAACCCACCCCCCCCCAAATAGCTCACAAAGTGTAGAGAACAAGCACAAAAATAGCTAAAACTGAAGTGTTAACAGTGCTGTTCAAAAATAATGTATTTCATAATACAAACAGATTTCCATTAAGGTGATATCCATAAATAAATACATGCAATTGGGCTGTTTAAACTATTTAATTCTTGCTGAGGTGTGTCTGGCCTATTTATTTATCAATCCATTATCCTGCCAAGAATCCCAGGAGTCTTTGTGTTTGCTCTGCGCCTGTCTCACAACAGTCAATCCATCCGCTTTAAATTCAGCTTGTGTTTGGGTTAAATTTGACCTGTTTTGACATTTAATAGCAGCACAAATGCTTTAAATGTTTCTAAAGTGACCTGAAACACACAGAAAATGACTAACATGACTAACAGGTGCTAAAATATTTTACAAATGGATTTTACATCAATTTCAGGGAATCCTGCAACTGTGCATGCCGTGTCTATGTGTATTTCATATGGGACAGTAGTGACAGTTCAAGGTGGACCTCAACACAATTGTATATGGTGTTTCTCTACTCAGTTTTAGCATTTAAAGTGTTTTCTTCCTCCAAGCCTCATTCACACATTCATACACAAGCCTTTTATCGAAACCCAGTTGCCGTTAACCACACATTCACACACTCATATTCATACTCTGATGGAAGTATTAGGGGGAGCTCATAGCTCTACCACCTGACCCAAAGAAATCTGCTAACAGAGTAAGAGTAAAACAGCATAAGAGTGATCATATATGGAGCACATAAGGAAGAGCAGTCGTACAGGGGTCACAGGATCTGTTGACACAAACACAAGATCTGAAATTTTTCAGCATGGCGGTGGAGTGGTTAGTACAGTTGCCTCACAGTTCCTGGTTTAAATTTTCTGTGTGGAGTGTACATGTGCTCTCTGGGCCTTCAGGGGTTTCCTTCAGTTTCCTTTTGGCCCGTCTCCTCGTCTCCTCCCACGGTTCAAAGACATCCATGTTAGGTTAACTGGTGATTCGAAACTGGTTGTGGATGTGAGGCAGAATAAAGTGCTTGAAATAGATGGAATAAAGCGGTGTATTAATGTGTGGTTAAAGTGTGAGTTGTAGCTAAAAGTGCTTTGTGTGGTCAGAAGAACTAAAAAAGCACAACACAAATGCAAGGACATCACGTGAGCACCCACAACGGAGCAAAATAATCTAAAAATAAACAAGTTAGAATTAAAGTCTGAAATCAGTCTGATTCGAGTTTAAACTATTTGAGATTATGAAGCTAACCAAGCTGCCAGTTCAGTGAGTGTGGAAAACACACGTGTGAGTCCCACATGCAAGATTTCCTACTGATGCTTTTAATGTGCAGACTAATCCTTTTTTTAACCATTTTGTGTGTTTCAACTAACAATTAATCTCTAATTAACACTGATAATTATAAATGGCAGTTTTAATGATGTAAGAGTGAGGAAATGGTTAACAGCTGTAATGGTTATATAATAAAGCTCAACAGTTCACGTTCAGTAAAATACATTTAAATCATTATGGCTGTCTTAGGACATGAGGTTTGGTGATTACAGTGTTTTTTCTCTTTTTCTCTTACATCTAATAAATAGATTAATCCTCTATTTATTACCATCACAGAGACTATTTGTACAGAGTTGTAGTTCTGAGTCAAATCTTGGCTCCACACTTGGACATGAAATATGAGCAGTATGAAAGGGTTATGTAAGGCCATGTGCAAATTCATGTTTTCATCCCTTCATCCCAGAATATTGGGTTAATTCAACTTGATTTAATATTTTAATATTATTATTATTATGTGGTTTTCAGTGCCCCACTTCCAGTGGCTCAGTGTCCACAAACCACTACCATAACTTAACCCCAACACCAAGTCTTAGCACGGCAGATATTTAAATATGTGTGAAAAACCAAAATGATTTAGTCACTCTGAAAATCTAAAACTCAAGCTGGTTCTCACAGAGCAGAGAAACACACCCTTTTTTGTTTTTGCTTTTGTTTTTGTTCTTTTGTTTCCTGTGTGAGTTAATTTCACTCAGTCGTGCCGTTTAGATCATCAGTTCTCAAGAAAGCTAAAAACCACAATCTGTCAGTTCTGCACAGCCGTGTTGTGAGCAGACACCTTGGCCATCTCTTTAAAATTAGACACCTATAAAATTTGATGCTTTGCCGCACGTGCTGCATTTAGAAAACATCTGTCAATTGTATATACAAAAAATTAACAAGGGTTACACTATTCATAAAAAGGAACTGGACTAATAAAGACAAGTTAGGATAACAGGCTCGTGTAGTTTTTTCTGCTTACTTAAAAGGTTTTCAGATTAATACAGTGTTAAAATGTGGAGATGCAAAAAAAAAGTGAAGAAAAAAAATTCAACGGGCTTGTGGGTTTTAGATTCAGATTGGTTTTAGAAAGAGGAAGTCTAAGATAACACAAGTACTAACAGCTGAAGCAAACACACAAAATGAAAAAGGAAACGCATCTTTTGTTATCCACTGAAAATGTAGACTAGAAAGCTTTGTCATATAAAAAACACTCTGTTTGTCTTAGAAAATGATGGGATAAATGCCGGGAGTAGGCACATGATAACATATCAGCAAGCGGTGGAAGGTGGAGATGAACAGAGCGGCTGTGACGGAGCACAGGACGAAGAGGAGAAAAACACAGAGGAATTCGAAGCCTCGCAGGAGACAAACATGTACCTGGGGATCTTGGAGGGATTTGTCATGGTCTTGTCCACTGAGGGAGACATGATCTTTCTGTCTGACAATGTCAGCAAGTACATGGGCCTGACTCAGGTAAATAAACCCACATATATTCTTACTATTCTTTTAAATAACCAGTAGGATTCAGGACTGAAATACTCTTCTATGTTTTCTCAAAGACTGAGTTGATGGGACACAACATTTTTGAATATACTCATCCCTGTGACCATGAAGAAATCAGAAGTAATCTGCGTCTAACAGCAGGTGGGTATTTGAACATCAAGGATATACGTTTTTCATATATGTTGGACACCATTTCAAAGCAAATATCTAATCAGCCAATCACACGGCAGCAACTCTGTGCATTTAGGCATGTAGATGTTGTCAAGGCGACCCACGGAAGTTCAAACTGAGCATTAAAACAGCAACTCAAATACCCACTCGTAGCATCCAAGACACGCAGAAGAGCATCTCTAAATCCACAACATGTTAATTTGAAGCAACTGGTTTACAGCAGCAGAAGACCACACTGGGTGCCACTTCTGCCGGACTCACCAAAATGGGACAAGGAAGATTATAAAAACATCACCTGCTCTGATGAGTGTCAGTTTCTGCTGCAACATTCACATGGTATGGTCATGATTTTGTGTAAACAACATTAAAGGATGGATCTATCCTGCCTTGAATCAACATTTCAGTCTGGTGGTGGACGTATAATAGTGCGGGGGATCTTTTCTCGTCACACTTTTGGCCCTTTATGACCCACTGAACCAAATGACGCACTTTAAACACCAGAGCCTATCTGACTATTTCCATTGAGCATGTACTGATGACAGGTTCTTGTCTCAAAGCTCAAATCATCTCAAGCTGGTTTCCTGAACATGAAAATGAGTTCACTGTACTCAAATAGTCTCGACAGTCACCACATCTCTTCAATGGAATGGGAGATTCCCATCATTGATGCGTAGCTGATAAACCGGCAACTAAAGAAGTTCTGAAGCCATAAAGGTGGTTTAGCATATTGTACCTAACAAAGTGTCCAGGGAGTATATATTCATACAGCTTTGTCCATGTGGCTAAATTAATTACTTATTTTTAGAGGAAGTTTGGTACGGTGAGAAGAGGGACTTTGTCATGAGGATAAAAAGCGCTCTGACTCACAGAGGAAGAACCGCCAACCTCAAGTCAGCTACTTGGAAGGTTCGTGAGAAACAGTATCGCTTAAAAATATCTTTTTTAAAAATGGCCCCCTGGTCTACATCATGATGATTTTTTATCACACCTCCCATTTCCAACTCTGTGAGTTCAGGTTCTGCACTGTCAGGGCCGAGCAAAGGTGTGCGTGGACCCGTCTGCAGTTTCCTGTCTGCTCCTGACCTGTCGGCCTCTGCCTCTCTCACACACCCTGCTCAGCAGATACACCTTCACCAGCCAGCACAGCATGGACATGAGGTTTACCTATTGTGACCAGAGGTGTGTACATGCATTCAACCAAAGGTGGAATTTGTTGTTTATTAAAAGGATTGTCTTTTTGTAATTACTCTTCAACTAGTAGCTTAGATTAATTAGTGCTTGTGAATAAGCGGAAATAAGTAACAACGGGAAAAAACCCCCAACAAAAAACCCCCCATGCAGAAGCATTTTTAACCACCATATATATATTACTTTAATACATTTAAAATGAATGCAGGATGTTAAGTTGAAAAACAGGAACATGTCTGGTAATCTTATTATGCAGTGCTGGATATTATGAAATTATATTTTTTCAAAAAGGGACAATTTTCGAAGCCAATTCGGAGCCAATTTCGTTTAAAAACTGTGCTGCATTAAGTGTTCTATCTGAACCCTCAGCCAAGAAAGCTCAACCAAAAAATCGGCTACAGTATACAGTTCAAACATTAAAGTAGAAATCATTAAAACAAGTTTCATTATGATTCTGGTTAGAAAATCCTGATATGTCATAGTTATAGCAGATTGGTAGTTAATAACCTTCAGTGTAACACATTTCAGGGCCTGACCTATGTTTATATAAACAACTCTGTGGTTATAATGCAAACCCTTGCCAGCTGAGAATGAGTGCACAGCATAATGTGTGACTTTATGAAAGCAGTGAATTGTAAACTTGCTTTTGGTGTTGGCTTTTGCACTTTTGTCATTGGAATTAAAGAAGAATGACTGTGCAGTTGTTTGTAAAGGCAACAGTGACTGGTTTATTAACATGATTTTAATCCTCAGTGTTGCTGACTTGCAAAATAAAATCATTTTGCCTCGTGTGTGTTTCTGTGTGTGCAGAGTGACTTCTCTTTTGGGCTACAGACCTGAGGAGCTGCTGGGCCGCTCCATCTATGATCTCTGTCACGCACTGGACACAAGCTGTTTGAACAAAAATCATCTAAACCGTAAGCACTGACACACAGACACAGACGTGCACGCGCACACACTACACTCCTATAAATACTTAACTAACTAACTTAACGTATTTCCCCGCAGTGTGTCTGAAGAACCAGTCAGTCAGCGGTCAGTACAGGATGCTGGTGAAAGGTGGAGGTTACGTCTGGGTGGAGAGTCACAGTGCTGTCATCCCCAGCGTCCGACCCTCCAGGTCCAGACCTGGCATCCCCCAGCCGCTCTGCATCCTCAGCGTTACCTACGTCCTCAGGTGTGTGCATTATTTTTGAAACCGCTTTGATTTAGCATGGCCATCACAGTAAACATGTTATTGGCTTTATTTCTAACCAGATTGGTAGCTCCATTGTCACCTCCTGACCCAGGACCAGGCCCTATCTCTTAACCCAAATCAATTTTAAGAATCATTTCTGGTGGTTTACCCAGACTACAGTGATGCATTAACTTCCAACATGCGACTCTGACAATAAACGATCCTTTCAGTGATTAATGGTCAACCAATTTCAACCAGTCCACAAAAATTCCTACCACAGGTCTTTATAACATCCAGGGTGTTTGCACAACCTGGAGCACTGATGTCCCAAATGGAAACGTGCTAATGGAAAGGGATTAAAAAAGGTGTTTGCAGGTAGATTTGTACGCCATAGCATCTATTATTTGTGAAGGGGAGAATATGAATCGAATAACTTAAAGCAACATATTATTATCTTTGAGGCTGTAACTAAGGATGATAAGTTATTGAAATTAATTTGTTGATTATGTCTTAATAGAGAAATGTAGTATGATGACCTGTAGGGTTCCTCAGTAGTCTGGGCCTGGACCGCCTGTTTTCTTTATACATGTTACCCCTGAGGCATGTCATCCACAGCAATGGTGTGAGTTTTCCTTTTTATGCAGATGACACACAGATGCGCGTCTATTTTAACCTCAGTGACATTCTCTTAAAATCAAATCATTGAGTGACTGCATCCAATATATTAAATGCTGGATGATACAGAAGTTCTTGGAACAAAATATGGATAATTAAAACTGAAGTAATTGTTACTGGCCCCAGTGAATCTGACACGCTCACATGGACGCACCTGAACTCCGTGTCTGTAAAGTTGGGCCAGTACTGTAAAATCTTTGGCATCAGCTTTAACAACCAGGTCACACTGAATAACTTTTCAGTTCAGTTTTTCAGTCTCGTTAAAGTAGCTTAGGAAACTTATCAGCTCAGTTTTATTCAAAGGAAATCTAGAGAAAATCGCACATTTCTGGGTTGGATAAGTAAAACTCATTATACGCAAACTATTGCTGATTAGAACTGAAACTTCTTACTAAAATAAAAAAAACAACACATCACTCCCGTTCCGGCTTCACTTCACTGGTTAACTGTTAATTTTAGAACTGATGTTGTTGTTGAATTTTAAGGCCAGCTGGCATCTGACATATTTGCCTGGTTTAAAGCTGCTGGGCAACCCACAATCATCGGTTGAGAGTCAATGGTGATCTGGCTTTTTCTGTTAGGAGATCCATTCTTTGAGACAATCTTTCTTTGAGATAAGCTGTTTTTTTTCTCCATCTTGTCTCCCAAAGCACTTGGGAACTTTCTTTTAAAGAAATTCATAAAATATAAAATATCTCCTTTGCAAAAACTCAGAAAGTGAAAACTCTGAAGGTAGAATGTTTTTTTGTCGTTGCTGTTTTAATACAACTCAGAGTGCTGTTATTTACAGATGTTTAATATTGTGTGCATGTGTGTGTCACAGTGGTGTGGAGCAGCCATCTCTGCAGCTCTCCCTGGACCAGACTATCCACAGATATTTGAATTGAAATCGAGATCTGAAGAGATGTCTGCGAAACCCTCCGTCCTTCTGGGAGCCCTCATCGATTATTTCTATTAATCAAATTTCATAAAATTTTTGACTTTTAAAATCAGAGTGGCTGACTCTGTGTCTTGATGCAGATTATTGTATGCATTATTTGATGAAGAGTGTTTGGATTTAGACTGTTGTTTGTTAATTACATCCACAAACTTGTAAAAGGATGTTTTGTTAGTTCAGGTAGATATGTTGTTGTATTTGGAGTTTTTCCCTTCACAGTTTCTGTCTTACACTTTTGCAGAATTACTGCAGTATGACAGCTTCTCATTCTCTAAAACAAAAAACTGAAAGCCTAGGTGTAGACTGTGGTTGATAGTCAGTTGACGGGGTGTTCTGAGAGTTCAAATATGTTGATGAAAGCAGGCAGTTTGACTTTTTCTTGACCTCCCTGGGCCTGACCTTACTTCCTTTGGGGTTTCCTTCTGAGCCACCTGACACGTGGGGTGACATCTGACTGCCAGCCATAATGCAGCGCGCACACAGACACACAGACATGCACATACACACACATACAGGCTATATAGAGAGAGATACGCATTGTGCTGATGTGGAGATGTGAGTAGACGCAAGTCAAAGCCACAGCTTCCTGAATAGAAACACACGATAGGAAAGTTCTCATGGGAACTCTGTCAACTTTTAACCTCTTGGCCTCTAAATGCACGCAACACACACACACACACACACACACACACACACACACACACACACACACACACACACACACACACACACACACACACACACCAGGCTGTTTCGAGTTTCAGTTCAGTTAGTTTTACTACTATTGAATCAAAGTGAATCAAAACATTCTCTGTAAATGAAAACAGTCCGAAAAATTACAAAGAACACATGATGAATATAGTTTTGTTAATAAGAAAATTATGAAAACCCCAAATTATTTCTCTGTGTCCGCTGTTCACAAACATATGTTGTTATACCAACATAGCACCTGCTGAATGAGCATGCTCTTCAGCTCCTCCTTTGCATCTCTGCTGTAACTGTGATCCAGGAAGCACTGATGTGGTTATTCACGGTGTCTAGACTTCTCTGGTAAAACATAACTGTGCTGAAAGTCGTTTTAGCCACCATAGTTATATATAAAACTAGTGTTTCACTGACTTTATTTCAGCATATGTTGAACCCTTTGAAGTTATAATGCTTTGTTACGCATCAAACCATTGTTTCTCAACATTTTTTAGCGATGTACCCTGAGCTTAAAATACTTTTTCCACCAAGTGCAACCTCAAACCAAAAACAGAAAAGAAAAAAATGTGAGAGATGAAAAAGAACCCCCATAACTGCGTATAACATTAGATTAACAAGAAGATGATATCATAGGTGTACAATCGGAGTCTCTCTGCTAAGTTGTGCTTAAATTGAATGACAAACATGGGCTGTTTTTTCACCAAGGATCTTAGTCATCTGTAAACAAATGTCAGTTGCTTTCACCTTTTGTGAGGCTTAACGGCCGTTGACTTTGTCATAACATTGGAAACAGAACTTTCCAGACTTATTTTTCATTAAACTTGAAAGCAAAAACTGACATAATCGAGACTATCTCAAAAATGATGCTCTTATTTGGGGAAAACTCAGCAAAGGACATTGGCTGTCTCAGTGTTGGAAGAAGATGCAGTCTCCCAGCATATTCATCTATGATGCTAAAAGAATCAAGTGCCTCCAGTGCTGATAGCCTAAAGGGAAAAAGGTGGCACATACACGAAAATGGTTCTGATTAAGCACGTTTGTTGACATGACCAGAATAAATTTAGATTTTACAACTTTTTCCTGTAGTTTTGTTCAAGTTCTGCCCATTTAGCTTTGGGTAATTAGCACTGGAAAATACTGGCTCCAACTGATAACTCTGGTCATTAGATTTTTTTTTTAATGGAAGGTTTCTTTGCAAAGGTAGTTCTTGTTAAATCTGGGAAAGTAAAAACAAGGAAATGTAAAAGTCAAACGCTGTCTGCGAGTTGGAATTTGCTAATTCATTCAGTATGTGGAGTAAAAGCTCTTGTTACAAAACAAACAAACAAAATAACAGCTTGTCATTTTTTTTAGAGCTTTGTCACTAAGTGGTATGACAGAATAACAGAAACAGAATAAACAGAAACACAATATCACAGCAGATGTGAAGGTAAAATTATTAATCAAGCAAATATTTAATGTTTTAACTAATCTTATCTCATTGTCCCACTATCCAAACATATGAAACCAAATTTATGTTTTAATGTTATTTGTACATTTTCTTTCACATTTTCTTGGCTCAGGAAGCTCATTGCAGTTTCAAAGTAGAAGGCCTGCAATGATTTGCATTCTCATCCTCACACTGATGCAGTGACACCAGAATGTGGGAACAATGTTTGCACCATCTAGTGTTGAATGCTAGTCACTGAAGCAAACCCAGTCGCAGTGTTAGTTGAAACTTTCATCAGTCTTTTTAGTTTTGGCTACAGCTTAATGTTCTGCATGGATCAAAACCATCTCATGTGACTTGTGATTCTGGAAAGCATCCAACAACAATAGTTTTTATTTACGTGCTCATAAAAAGCACAATAAAAAAACATTCATATTACTTTTAATGTGTATTTACCTTTTTACTATCCGAAACTTATGGATAGATTTAATGAAAGAGTCACCAGAGGTAGAGCTTTTCTGGATTCTTGAAGAGAATCTGAGAGGATTATTTTGCTAAATTGTACATTTCTTATCATAACTACAGTGGCCCTGAGAGGTCTTTTAAGCATGTCACAGCGAAATCCTTCACGTTTTAGTTTTTGACACTTCCGCAGCTTTTCTGCCACATTATTGTTTCCCTTAAATCACTTCTGTTGTGCATTTTTCCAAGTGATTAAGTTGCATTGCGTTCGACCTCCCAGGGCTACTATACATGTCTTTACAAAGACCTTTCAAATATACAGTAATACGAAAGATATCTGACGTTTTCTTTAGCTTATTAGACTAATAAATCACAAATTAATCCCACTCCAGAAAATCTTTGAATCCATTGAGTACATTTTGCATGGAACATAACTACCTGTTCGCAATGCAAAAAGTGTTTCTTCATATGCTATTATGTGTAAAGACCCTCAGGTTATCAACTTCCTGAAACAAGTTGTTTTTGTTCTCTTCTGACTGAGAACAAACAGGTCTGAATAGCAGGTGGGCGGACCCCCCTGTGCTTACAGTGCTTGAAATGACCATATTAAGAATATCTGCTCTCAGTGACATCATAAAAATCCAAGAGCCCTCAGAGTTGTCTGAATCCTGAGCCTTAGACTCACAGACGTTAATTGTAAATCTTACTATTATTATTGTTATTATTAATTAGGTTTTGGCCATCCACCTTTTTTAAAAGCATGTATACAGAAACCAATGAAAAGTGAAATAGGCCAACTTAAAAACAAATTAAAGGGAATTGAAGATCAGTAACATTAATAACCAATATAAGTCCATATTTATAAATATTGATTCTTTAATGAAGGATATCATAACATACGCAGCAATCACAACATCATGACATAAAACCATAATCAAAGAAAACATGGGGAAATAATATTTTGTAATCTTTTTCAACATGCTATAGTTCATCAGATTTATTAGGTGTACTGTAACCATATTGGTTGTCAAGGTGACCCAGATGACCGTTGCTGCCTTGCACATTGCTTCAGAGCCCTGTTCACTGCGGTTTCACCAAGTGTTCAGCCACACAGAGTGGAGATAAGAGGTGGAGGAGGCAGAGTCCAGTTTCGTCAGATCCCATTTTACATTCTAGTTTCACAACGTTCTCACGCAGGAAGGCAGGAAGACCAGGTTTAAACTCATATGTGCTTCCTGGGAGAGCAACACATGAGTCCTCTGGGTCTAGCCCTGTTTACGTCAAGCCCCCATTACCTTTTCCTACCCTCTTCTCCTCCCCCGACACACCCCTATGGTTGGGTGGGTGTTGTCAGGCCCTCAGCCAATGACATTACAGCGAATACCCTTTGAACAAGCCACGATAAATCAATCTGTGTCACTGGAGGGAGGAAAACAGGCAGAGGGAAGGATCTTAAAGATAAACTGGAAAGCATTGCTATAGTGATGAGAAAGAACTTTGCACTAATATCCTAATGAAATGAAGACCTACAGTTTCATGTAACTGTTAGTAATTATTTTATTGTGGAATTATAAAAACATATCTAGATGGAAAAGTGCGTGAAAACAGATATGAATGAAAGTGACCTCTGGTGGTCTGTTCAAAGTTCTCGGACTGATTTCGGTTTTACGTGTCAGCCAAAGAACAGGATTCACTGCCAAAGAAATAACCACGACTTCCTTACATTTTGCATTTATATGTTTTGCTTAGTTGGTTAGAAAATGAAGAAACTTGTATCTTAAATCTCACAACGCAGTCTTATGCAGTGATGACCAGAGATGGGCAGTAACGCGTTACTTGTAACGCGTTACTGTAATCTGATTACTTTTTTCAAGTAACGAGTAAAGTAAGGGATTACTATTGCAAAATCGGTAATTAGATTACCGTTACTTTCCCGTAGGAACGCTGCGTTACTGCGTTACTAAAACCGTGATTTTTTTTGCGAGAATGTCTCATGACAGTGACGTAAGCAAGTGCGACGTTGGTGACAGCAGCTGTGTGCAGATCAACAATGGATAATATATCGAGTGCGGGAGAGAGTATGAGCGTGCAGCGTTTAAAGTGTGGAAGTACTGACCTTACTTTGAGTTTGATTCCATAAAAAGTGACAAAAACATTAGCGTCCATCGTGCGTGGGAAGAAAACTTCTTTTTACAGCGAAAAAAACCCCTAAACTTCCGAGCAAGCACCGAGTAGCTACGACGTGATGGGAAATTCACAGAGACACTCGCGCGGATTCTTCAACTGACCGCAGCACACCTGCACCAGGGTAACCCTCCGCCTACCCTGCTCCTGCTTTACAGGTGAAAATAGAGCAAAAGGACCGCTGAGTCTTTGACTTTATTTATT